AGATCTGTTGCAGTTCTGTTGTGTACTCTGGTGAAAATCCTGAGAGAGTGGACACAACCCAAACTGCTGTCTGAGGAAGGAAGGTCTGCCAAAAACTTGTGTCATGAGTGTGCAAACATTTGCTCTTTTTTCTCAAGGGTACTGACCAGAGCCTTGCTAAAATACCAAGCATTGGAAATTTCTGTTTTTCTCCCCACACAAAAGTTTTTCCTTTAGAGGTAATGGAAAATATCTCTTCACATACTTAATTTTTTTGAGCTGATTCATAAGTACAGGATTTTATGTTATTTTTCTGTAATTAGTTGATGATCAGTGTATGCATCCAATCTGTTTCTACTTTTCTTATTCCATGATTTTCAGGGTAATAAGCTTGTCTAGCTAGTAATAGCCCTTTCTTCATCCCCTGTCCTAGAACAAGGGGAACTTCCTTGTTTCTTACTCAGAAAGGTTCGTCAGTAATTTTGGTCCCAAGCTCTGTCACTGAGCATGCCCCTCTAAAAGGAGCCATAGCCCAGTGTATTTTTTTCTTAGGTAAGTTCATTTTTACAATATACTGTTGTACGTTGTACCTTTCCTCATTTTTTATTTATCAGATGCATAACTTAATGATTATCTGCTATCACTGTAAACTCCAAAGTTTTTGTGAGTTTAAAATGAGTAAGTGTTGCACATGTTTTCAGATTTAATTCATTCATGAAAATTCATGGACTAGACCTGGCTAAACCAAAAGACCTCTCGTTGACCATGGATTGTGTGCCAGTAGACAGTTGCTGTCCATCAACTGGTATGCAATAACCTGTTCCTTTGCAGCCACTTCCTTTTTGTTTGAGCTTCTGCTTTGCTGTAAGGTTTTTTCATATTCAAGCCAAGATTTTAAAATATCAGAAGAATCCGTCTGAGATTCTACCGCAGCACCCAACACATTCAGTGGCTGTTTTTCATGGGTAGTGCTAAGGTGATTGTATTCAAGAAACAGATGGGTTTGTATTGGTCAATTTACAAATGTAAGTAAGATAACCTTAGTGCATAATTTCACAAAGCTTTAGTAATTTACTGTTGTATATCTGTTTTGTGTATACATATGCATGAGGGAAAGACAAGGTTTTAAACACTTTTTAAAAGGCATCACACAAGTGGTATTAGCTATATGATGTGTGTGTTAGTGCTCTTTAGAACAACAGAAGCTTCGTTTTTGTCTTTTCCTTCATCAAAGCAGCAGAAACACTACTATCATAAGCATTGCTTGGTTTATTTTTTCTCTGTACTTTGCTAAAAAGAAAGAAGAAAAATAAAAGGCTACCTGACCATTTTAAAACAATCTATGTATGTTCAATTTGAACATGCAAACATATTTTATTATTGTTACGGTGTGATAATTGATAATAGTATGCTACTCTTCCACTGAAAACAAAAAAAACAAACAACCTGCAGAGATGACTCTGCAATGTTAAAATGATTCTTAATACAGTCATTCTTCACATATGTAAATGTAGTATAAAAGCTAGCTAAAAAGGGAGAGAATGCTTCTGGCAGAGTCACTTTATTCAGCTACTTCTGAAATAGCTTATTTTGCCAAAACTCACTCAAGTGTTTTTTCACTAAGTAATCTTTCGTTGTGATGGCAAGTAAAGCATCACCTCTACCTCTTTTTACCACTAATATTAAGGGAGGGGAATAGATTTGTTCACTGATGAGTATGTTGCCACTACAATTTCTAAAGGCTTAATTCATAGCTGTTTCCTAGCAGTTCAAAAGACAAAACAACCCACCTTGGTTGTCACAGGGGTTGACATGTCAGATGCAGTCTGGCTGTTGAATCACTTCACTGCCATTACTCCAGTGCACCTCTAATGTAATCCTACTTCCATTCTTTACAGAAGAAAACTTTATCTTAGATCTAATTTTCCAGAAAGAAAATTTATTTCTTTTTGTATTGGCTATAAAATGAAGTTGAACACTAGGGAAAATGTGTGTAAATAAGGAAAAATGAATGTATGCCAGCTGCTCCCTTTCATTTCTGATAAGATTTTTAGAATTGATGTTGTTTTTTTCTTTATGATGCATGAATGTTAATGTATTGACTGAGAACCCTTTTCTCTCTAAGACATCTGAGCTTTCTGCAAATATTTAAGACAATTCAAACTCATGCACTGATCTCTGGATGTTGACTGGGCTCTCATGTAGGTTGATTAGGATAGACTCCTCTGTGTTGTAATGGAATCCAGATAACATTAATAACTCTTCTTTGCTACTCCACATCTCATCTGTAGCTGAAAGGACTCCTCTGCTCTGTGGAAGGATAGAGCACGTCATGTTTTGACGCCATGCTTCAGTGTACCATACAGACAGTAACAGGACATAGCACAACATAGATATTCTTGCTAAATTTTAGGATTACTTTTCCTTAGTTCTTTATCTTCATTCAAGAGAAGATAGCAAAGCCAACCTTGATTTGAAAGGAATCCTACCCCCTCTGAGATGACGAAACTCATGCCTCATGTCAAAAGCGTTTAGGAGTGTGTTCCTTTTTTGTTGTGTTAATTGACATCTTTATTAAACTAAGGGTAGAGCATGAGTTTGAGTAGTATTCTCACAGTTATCTCTGCTCTTGAGTTACTGGCATGTCCCTGGCTTGGTTTTGGCAAGTGTTCCCTGAGCCACAGCCCAGAGCATGGATAAGGCAGGACAAGGGACTTTGTGCAGAAGTAATACAGATAAGATTACCAGGACTGAGTGGAAAGGTTTATCTGGATGGACACAAGTGTCCCACTCTCTTCCTGGCATGTTTTATGACTGTACACATAGCTGTACATCTATTCCACGGCATCCGAAATGAATGAGGAGGAAGAAGAGGAGGTCTGAAGAAGAGGTCATTTGAGTAGAAACACTTATTTTTATTTATTACTCTGGTCCCTTGAGAAGCCTTTTTGACAACAACAGAGCCGTTTAAAAGTGATAATTTCCATGTTTTTCATAAGATATTAGTCCATGTTCTCCATTAGCTTCAATAACCAGCATTACTACTGGAAATTACTGTTCCAGTAGCTATTCAGTGTATCACCATTCCTTGTGGTGTCAAGTACTGCTTGCAATAATAATGGGGCTCAAAAACTTTAATTACTAGCGCATTTGGAAAGTTACCTCATATAGATTTAAAGCTGAACAGAAAAAAACCCCTCACTTCTGTACTAGACAGAGGAGTAACTTTATTATTTTTATAATAAAAACCTTAGTGTGACCAGTACAAATTTTTTCATTCAAATGGATCCCACAAGAGTGATATATATGGTGTGTGTCAGGAACATGGGCATTTATTTTGCACAGACATACGATTGTATTAGGTTTCTAAATTACTTACAGCACTCTTAGCAGAAGATGTAGGCTTTGTAATGAGAGTTGTGGCCAGAGTGAAACTGCTTTAAAAATCAAGGGGTCTGCTTCAGAATAAAGCTAAATGGAGAAGGGCATGCATGTTTTCCTTTGCAGAAGTGTGGAGTTTTCCAACCAGTACAGACCACGTTCCAAGCTGCCATTTTGCACTCATTTTTTTGCTGTGTCAATGTCTGCTCTACCTCCAGAGCAAGTGCCACGCTCTAACTTTGCAGTTCGGGAGTGATCAAGTTCCTTGTCTTGGGGCTTGCACAAAGATCAGGAAAAATTGATGCATATTCTGCAAAATCTTGCAGTTGGAGTTTTAGCACAATATGGGTTGAGCTGTTGATAGCACAAAGAACTGGGCAGAAGGGGTGCAAAGCCATCTCTCCTGGCTTTTCTCCTTACAACCTGCACCTCAATGTTTTCAGTTATGAGTTGGATCACATGTCTGGATATGGCCCAGAAAAAATTTTCTCTCTTCATTAATCAAGCATTGAGTGTCTGGCAGTGGGGGAGAGGCTGATGTTTGGTGCTAACCAGTGGGAGGACACCCTGGCCCTGTGGGAGAGTTATCCTTTTGTGCCTCTCTCTGGGGCTCCCTCCTCACCCAGCACAGTGGAAGCACAGCCAGAGCTGGCCTGTGCTATGTGGTATGCACGGGTTTTGCCTCGCAGGGAAATGGAAAGATGAAATTTAATATGCAAGCAGAGCAGGAAAGAGAGCGGATTTCCTCCAGAAATAAAAAAAAAAAAGCCTAAATTTTGCCAGCACATCCTCTTCAACATTTAAAGCAGCACTAAAACCATTCAGGGTATAAAACATCAGAAAACCAGCATCCCTACACAGACATTTCATGGGCAGGATTGCAGGGCTTTTTCCAGTTCATGAAAACTTTAAAACCCCACTACAAAACCCTCTTCTTCATTTAATAAGGCTTAGTTCTGTTCCTTCATGTGAAGCTTAAATTTGATACTGTTTCACTAGGTCTCTTGCTGTAGCTTTTGAACTTTAAATTAAATTTGGATTCATTAATACATTTACAAAAGGGAAAAGGAGAGAATGCAATGGAATGTGCAGGGGAAAGACTAGAAGAAGGACCTAGAGCACAAATACAGAACAAAACAACTGTCACTTCTGGCTGCTATGACTAGTCTTCACACAGAGGTAAATTTTAGCCCTGGTGAGTTTGTTGGCAATAGAGGAGTATTTACAATGGGTTTCTATATGCTGAATTGAGGCATTTTGGTAGCGACATATAATTTTGGAAGGTGCGATGCTCTCGCCATAAGTCATCAGGCAAATTCCCTAGTACTGCTAATTAAGTAATGCATATAATTACCTTTTTTTTTTTTCCCTAAAAGTTGTTTTAATTTTAAAATTAAACCCATTTGTAACTAAGCAGGACTGCCCTGTAAAGTAATGGTTTTCAAACCTTATGTACAGGTTTTGGTGGTTGAGACATCATTGCTGATTTGGAGATGTGTTTGGTTTTGTTTTCTGGGTATTCTTAGTCTGAGATAACTAAAAAGGGATGGTTTATTTTAATGCCAAAGATTTTTTTAAAAAAAAAATAAAGAACAGTTACCTGAATATTAATTTTTGCTTTGGTGCTTTTCTCCCTATAGGTTTTATGGCAGGCATACAGAGGAACCCCCAAATGTCACAGTATGGACCTCAACAAACTGGACCTTCCATGTCACCACACCCCTCACCTGGAGGTCAAGTGCATCCTGGAATTGGTAGCTTTCAGCAGAGTAATTCAAGTGGTACTTATGGGCCCCAGATGAGCCAGTATGGACCACAAGGTAAAATGCTTGCTGGTATTACAATATATATATATGTATTGTGTATGTGAGTAGGTATGTTAAAAACAACAAAAACACACACACAACACTCTCCATTTAAAACAAAAAAATCCTAAACAAATAAAGCTGTATCCAAAGGTGGAGCTGCACCTTGTGGAAGAAGCTGTTTCTGTTATTAGCACTTTTCTCTGTATAAAAATAGTGACCTTAAATTAGGCAAGGAAATGATGAATCTGTGGCATTGCCAGGTCTATTGTTTAGGTGCCCAAGCATGTCATCTCTGTGATGAGGCTGCATTTGAACAAGCATGAAATCAGGGTCACAACACTGATCCCAAAATAGGACTTCTTTTCTTGGATGAAGTCCCAAGGCCAACCTGAAATTGCGTGGTGACTTTGAGGGTAAAGTCTTCTAACAAGGATAATAATATGGTGGCTACTGTGGAAATAGAATATTGAGCTCTAATGCATATGGTTTGTGAATCTTAACTAACCCTTCTGACTGAGAGAGACAGTTCTTTTTATTTTGCTTGTTTGACAGAATTGGTGGGGGTGTAAAACAAAAATAGAATACATAGTTTCTGCCCCTGAACAACCTTGAACTTGTCTATTGTTTTGCCTTTAATGGATAACCTTTATAAAGTATGCATGTGTTTAGGGGTTAAATGAAGTTGAAGTCAAGTCATGGAATATATAAGGGTCAGTATTTTCTTTAGGGGTACATAAAGAAGCTTTTCTATTTCAGCACTTCCTACTGTTGCTTTCTCACTTAAAAGCCTCAGAAAGGACTTGAGCCATCAATGGGAATTTCTGTAGGGTTCAATAACTTTCCGTGCTAGCAAGGATGGTTATTTCAGTCTCCCAAGTTTCTGAGAGCTAGTTCTGATGTTTGTTTGCAAGGAGCCTTGCTGCCCTACGCAATGTTCCTTTCTGTTTCATCTCTGGGTAGCGTTTGGTTTAGTGTTCTGAGCACAGGGCTACAAGCCAAGATTTCCCAGTTTCTAATTTTGGCTCTGCCTTTTACATCATCTTTCAGCTTAGGCAAGTAGATTCATTTCTCTGCTTTGCTTCCCTTAACTATAAAATGGGTCTAGTAATGCCTTATAGCCATGTGTGAAGATTAATTACCTAACTCCAGTTGACTGGTGCTTTCCTTTTATTTGGAAAGCATTTTGTGGCCATAAAATACTGTCCAAGTGCTTATTTTTATCTGCACAGTGAGCAACTAGCTTAACTGGTAAAAAATCCAGTGGATTTATGATGTGCTATCCTGACTTCCAGCTGTACTGCCGCTGCTGAGATTCCGAACCATGGGAATAGTGGGTGTCAAGTGCAGTAAAACATTAGCCATCCACGCTGATTGAATGGAGAGGTTTTTGTACTAAATCAATGCATTTAAGTAACACGCCAAATACTACTTTCTTTTTTTGCTTGAGTTCAGCAGTTCTTTTCCTCCCTCTGTAGATGAAAGTGCCTATCTAATGATTTTATGGGTCATGGTCAGGAAGAAACTGCTATTAAAATGTGAACTTGAGGGACAGGAAGAAAATGAGCATCATTGTCATTAACAGGCCATTTCAGAAGGGTTTGGTGAACAGTGTGATGGATGAAAATCATGTTCTTCTGCCAGTGATGAGTACCAGTGCACTGGTACTCATAAAATTAGGGCCTTGCAGGCTGTCAGCTCTATAGGTAACAATTAGACCAGAAGAATACTACATTTTCTCCAGGTTGATCTAACCATTAATAAAATCCAGGGATGAAGATAGCAATATTTCCAAGTTATCTGTTTACATGGACTTAAGGTTTTAAAAGCATTTTTTAATTTTAAATGAAAGTAATCCATAATTGCAATTCTTAACATACCCTATTACAAAGCATAATCATATGGCAGCAACAATGAATGTATAATAATGTTATCCCATTTGCCTTTTTCTGCCAAAACAGGAAATACATTAAAAATTACCTGGGTTGAAACCAAGTTCTTAAATTATTAAACTAAAGTAATTCTCATGGATATGATTTGTTTTCTGTTTTGTTCACATAGGCCTTCTTCCAGAATATTGTTAAGCTTAGGCTGGGTTTCACAGGACTACTTGTTTTTCATATATGCATCAAAGCATTCTGGACACTAAGCTTTTGATCCAGCTTTGAATACTGGATTTCACTATGTGCTGTCCTGAAAACAATTGCTCAAGGCTAGTGTCCTCTGTGCAGTGGAATTGCTCACTGTAGTAAAGACTACACCATTAAGTTCAGACTAGAAGTAGTAGCCCCCCAGTTCATGAGAGCAGAATGATCCATTTCATGCCTGTGCTTGATTTATTTGATTTTCATGTGTTTACATGACACTTAGAACTATAATAAGGGCAGAATATATTTTCCCAGGAAGCAGTTCTGTAGTGGGTCCTAGTCCAATTCTGTGAAACCATTTCCTACAAAAATAATAAATGGCTTTGGCTCCACACTTCGTGTGTCTGGGATACAACACAGGAGCATGCAGTACAGAAGATTAATTTCAATAAAAAATTAAATCCCAGCATTTTCCTGTCCCAAAGAATTCTTAAAAAAAAATTAAAGCAGAGCGAGGATGGAAGTTGTTACTGTAAGAATCTACTGAAAGAATCTCTTCAGTTTGTTTGGGCAACATCTAGCTCAGGGGCTAATGAAGCTCTGGTCTATGAGCTGACCATCAGACTGCTGCCATGGCAAAATGTCCCTTAAATGCACTCTAGAGAGCAGTCAGATGCCACAGTCAGCTGGATCTTTTAAGACTGGGACAGAGAAAAGCTTCCTGTGATTCAGTAAAATATCTCAGAAATGCATCCTGTCTTCCTAACTTTTCCTACTCAATTCAGCAGTAAGGCTGTTCTGTTGGGGTATAACAAAGAGAGAAATTGCTACTGAATTTGTTTGAACCACAACCCCCAGAGCTTAACTGTAAGTTAAACCCCCCTTTTGCTTGTGATAAAGTGTTTGTGCTTTTAATGTTGGACTCCTTTCACAAAAGCACTTTGCTGTCTAGTTCCCACTGATTTTAATCCTGGATTTTATTTAAAATGGTAGCATTGTAAGGATGAGATGTCCCACGTATCTTGAGAATCTGGAACTCTGAATCCAGACCCACATATGCAAGAGTCTGTGAGGCTAAGGCTTAAATATCAGCTGTATCTTTCTGAATGAAGTCCCCTAGGTAAAACAGTTCAGAGGAATTCAGAACAACACATTTAAATTGTCTGCAGAAGAATAGCCTGCTGGTGAAATGCACATGTAAAAAATTTTAGAACTATTCTAAGATGCCATTTTAATACAGTGAATCTGATCTATGTCTCTAAAGCAGAGAGCAAAGCTAACAGGTAGTTCTCAAGTTTCCCTCTTTTCAGTTTGCCTAGAAATGGCAAGATCTCAGAGCACTTTGTTCAGCAAACCTGAACAAAGTGGACCAGAGTTTCAGCAGTAAGTATGAACATCTGTCTTTGGCAGGTTGTTAGTCAGCTTCTTTCTACTTTATCTTCATTACGCTTTTTTTTTTTTTCTTCCTGATTCCTGTTACAGCATTGTTTTTTCTCATGCATTGAAGATGTTGTCTCTCTGGGTAGAATTCTACTCTGCTGAGGGGGAGTTAGAATCAAAAATCCCTCAGATATGGAGGGGAGGAGTTGTTCAGTAGTACTGTGCAGCCGCTGTTGCCAGGCTTGTACCCACTTGAAAAGTGTGGGCTCTTGAACTTGGCTGCCTGACACGTCCAGCTGATGTGGGCTGGCCTAGCATCTGCTGCATTCATTGTGTTTAATGCTGCATCCATCTGTTTTCTGTCAAAGCCACTGCCAACAAATTACTAATCTATTAGAGAAACATGGAAATAAGATTGCACTCCTCATTCCTGGCAATTCCTCTTGTATTTTTTTTGGCTTTTATTTTGCCCTTTTTTTTTTCTCTCTTTTTCTTTTTTTTTTCTTTTTTTTTTTTTTTTTTGTGGTCTGGGAAAGGTATAAGAACAGCTAGTACTTGAGGTATTAAGGAAATGCTTAAGGAAAAAAACATGGAAAAAAAACACTGAAACTTGTTTTCCTTACTAAAAAGATGTGACTTCCCTTTGCTTTTGGATGTGTATCCCTGGAGATGAATGATTAGAAGCTATTTTAACTGAGCCACATATTTTTATGGGGAAGATTTCACTGGTTTTTCTGTGTTGTGTGTATGCTGGAAAAGCCAAAGCACAAAAGATTGAATTTTTTGTCCCAATTCAAAATAGCATCAAAACAGCAGTAGTGTTTTAGCATTGGTGTTTGCTCCTCCACACATGCTGCTGAATGTACTTCGTAGACCCTAAATGACAAAACAAATTGGCTTTATGTAAATTGGACTGACAGTAGCTCCCAGTGATCATGGATATCAGGTCTGCTAGTCTAGGGAGAGAATTTGCTCCACTTTGGGAAGCGGTGTTACTAATAGCATGTACATAATACGTGCTAACTGCTGTGCAGAATCTTTGAGTGCACATATACACCATCCTGCTGTATTACATTTTTCTTGCACAGAGCAAATGGAAACCCAGAGCAACATCCAAGTTGTGTGCTGTTGCCTGTAACACATAGCAGAGCAGTGTGAAACTAGTCAGCCCTTCAGTCTGTAGTCACTTATGCTGGATCAGACACGTGGCTTGAGCAGGTCTCAGCAACCAAAACTCTGGCTGGGGGCAATGGCTCTCTGAAGAGAGAATATTCAGCTGCCAGCAGCCAAACCTAGAGGAGGAGGAGAAGTGACAGGGAAGTCTTAAGCCAGTATAAAGCTGAATCTGGAGCCTTTCATCACTGCTCAGCCACATATTTGGGATCATTCTGTGTGGACTCCCAGGCAGAAACTTGAATTTTAAAGCAGAAGACAATGGTTGCTTCATTTCCTTGGGAAGCGTAGGTCCCATGCATTCTCGCCGAGGAGATCTTGTAGTAGAGTGAGTCAGGTGAGTAGAGTGAGTTACAGGGTGGAGAGGAGAAGATTAGCAAAAGCACAGCAGCAAGAGCATATGAATTAATTATGTGTGCATTCAAACCATGAATGCGTATATTTATTTTAAATACAAATAGGAGTTGGATACCACCAACTCCTCTGCCTGGTAGCTGAGGCCTGAGGAGGGGCATGGCTGATCTGCACAATCAGAGGAAGAGTCCAAGGGCTTCTGCCTTCAAATAAGTGAAATAAGCGTGGGAATATCTGAGAGTACTCAGGAAACTCTGCTTTGTGGCATCCCACAGGGAGGGAATGGGTCATGTTTCCACTAATCTGGATGAGATGGAAATGAAGACAAGTCAAAACGGATGACTGAAGTAGTGCAATGTGATACGTTTCCTAAAATAGTTTTTCTATCATATCTTTAGCTTTCTTTTTTTTTTTTTTTTCCATTTTTCCTCTTTCTCATGCTGCCTGGGTTTGTTTCTGTAACACTGCATGCTGTATACTCGATTTTTCTTGAGATTTCAACATGACAGGAAAATCAGCACTCAAATGAGTTAAGCTGCTGCAAACTGAGCACTTTACTCCAGTGACAACACAGACTGGGTTCAGCCAGCTTTTCATGCTGTCCTTCATAAGGCACCTGCTTATATGAGCATCTTTGTACTGTTGCTGCCTTCTTGTTCCTAATTTCTCAGAGGAATTGCTCTGTAAGTTACGATTCCTTATGCTGACAGAACCAAACTGAACTTACTAGGGAAGCAGGTCAGTAGAGGACAGGAATCTTTCTCGGACCCCAGCAGTCATCCTCACCAGCCTAGTCCAAATCATCTCTGTCTTAAATGGGCAGAACAGTTAGGAGCAAGAAGCCTCTTGCTGAAACTGCAGAAAGACAAAGGAGTGAGAACATGAAATTATAAAAATAAGATTCTCCCTTGAACTTATGTAATGGGCTTCTTACATGCCACATTTCTCTCTACTGCATAAGGCAGTTGTGTACATTGTGCTGTGCTGTTAGCCCTCTGGAGGCTGTGCTTTTCTTTATTTCCTGTTGCCTTGTAACATACATTAGACAGAAGATGTTTCGAGGGTACATGAAAATCAGGTTCATAGGATCATTCAGGTTGGAAGGGTGCTCAAGAGCTGTTCTTGGCTGACCTTGTATTCAAAGCAGGGTCAAATAAAGAATCAGACCAGGTTACTCTTGGCTTTATCCAACTGGGTTTTGAAAACCTCCATGCAGGGAGTCTGCGTAACCTTCTTGGGCAGTTTGTTCCACTGCTTCTCTGTCCTCATGGAAAATCATTGTCCTGACTCTGAGGCCAGCATGGGTCACTTTAGTTCACATGTGTAAGTTCTGCAGCTGCTAACTTACTAAACAGAAATATTTGCTCAAAAGTTTTAATGATTTTCTCTGTGCTTTCTTATCATTTTGTTCAGGAAACTACTCCAGACCACCAACCTACAGCGGTGTGCCCAACACAAGTTACAGTGGCCCAGGCCCCGGCATGGGTATAAATGCCAACAGTCAGATGCATGGACAGGGGCCAAGCCAGCCTTGTGGTACCATGCCCCTGGGACGGATGCCATCAGCTGGGATGCAGAGCAGACCATTTCCTGGAAACATGAGCAGTATGACCCCCAATTCTCCTGGCATGTCTCAGCAGGGAGGCCCTGGGATGGGCCCACCCATGCCAACTGTGAATCGCAAGGCACAGGAGGCAGCTGCTGCAGTGATGCAGGCTGCTGCAAACTCCGCTCAGAGCAGGTATGCATTCAGGTGAAAGGAGTTTAAATAAGTAGGAATGTTTTCCTTGTCATTTCTGAAGTAACTGTACAGCACTGTACAGGTGTGTGAATGTGCATTTATGCAAGTTCTAGCTGTGCCCTTATCTCTAGGAGGAGATGGTGTGTCCAAAAAATATTTTTTCTTAATTATTTCCTTTTCTTAAGGAGAAAGCATGTTGTTGCCTGTTTGAATTATCTTCTCAAAAAGGTGTTGTGACAATGGTGATGATGGCCACTTCTAGTTTGGTTCTTGGCATTATAGCTTTAGGAAAATCCACAGGATTGCAGTGACAGTCAACAAGCCCTCTGCAACTTTAAACTTTTTTGAGCTTTTGTACTTTTTTTGTCTCTGGTGAAGAGAGAGCAAACATGTCCTCAGCAGTTTACCCCTGCCAGAGAGTAAGGAAGCCTGTGAAGCTGCCCACAACTCTTGCATCTACTGCCCATGTTTTGAGCAGCAGTGCTGATGGCAGTTCTCTTCTGTGGCATGTTCTGACTCCTAAACAGGTCTGCAGAGCGGGAGAGGAGGGCAGCCTGAGGGGAGCAGCTGGAGGGGAGAGGCAGAGGGAGACATAAAAGCAGTCTGGAGTTGTCTGGAGTTGATACCTGCCGCTTGTGCATCCATAATAGAGAACCTGCAAACAGGACTGCAGTGGTTGAAGCAATGGTCCATCTTATCTCCCCTTTGGGCACCAAAGCTACATGTTGCCATTTGCATATGATTTTTGGTAAAAGGCACTTTTTTGGCCATGTCATTCTTAAAATGCCTGAATTTTTTTTTGGTGACATTTTTCAGACTAAGTAACATCCACATTTCTCTGGACTCAAATAACTCCTGGCATATTTATTACCTTTTTCTGTTGCAAGAAGGTCCATAATGTTGGAGAACAACACAAATCTAGTTGCACTCTTCTGGTGAACATGTTCATATGTGTGTGCATTGCTCACTGCACTTACGCATATGCTTACACAGATGCACATACATTCACCCAAATATTTGTCATTGAAGACCAGTGTTTGTGGACACTAGAGTTGCTCTTATTCCAAGACGCAATGTTAACAAGAAATAGGAAGCCAGTGTGTCCCTGTATTTGTTACTTTCTTGTTTTGAGAGCTTGAAAGGCAGGTGGCTACTAATGATAAGCAGCAGAAAACTTTTAAAACAATAACAGTTAATTTAGTGTACTTCATGTTCTTGCTCAATAAAATAGAAACAGGCTCCCTTAAAACAGACCATACTCCAGCAGATATCTTGTGAACCAGCAGTGCCTTTCTTCTGTTGGTTGTTTTAACAGACCTGTCTAGTAGGATTTATGGAAGTCTGCTTCTGTCTGTCTGGTTTAGGCTATAAGCTGATAGGTCAGGCACGAAGGAATAAATAGGCCATCACTGTAGCTGCAGGAACAGGATTTCTCTATAATCATAGAATGAAAGGAAAAGCTCACGTTTGTTGGTCTTGACAGCAAGAAAAGACTTTGTGTTAAGTGGAAAGCATTTGGTTGTGATTCAGCTTACACATTGGGCATAGTGTGTGGTGTTTGATCAAAAACTGGGTTAAATGATTGCCACTTTTATCTCACATCTTCCTCCCAAGTCGGTTTAGTAGAACTGCTTTTTCTTTCTAGCTTTGACTAGACAAAACTGCACCATTTCAGAGCATTCCTATCACATACTGCCCATTCCAGTGATCCAGCACCTATGGATGAGCTGAGCACTCACTGAATCCCTATCACAAATATTGGCAAAAGGATTATTTATAAACTACAAATTGGGAGGAACTTGTCACACCACTCTCATGCCAGGGAGTTGCAAGCACACTGTTTCCCTCTTTGATCTCAAGTCAGCTGTAGGGGAGAAAGCATAATGGCTTTTGGCTATTCCTGCAAGTCCTCGAGGCTTGCATATGGAAGGAATGTATTTGACAATGATTCGGATTTGTGATACAGGTCAGATCCAGAGAGGCTGTTCTTTCGTTCTGCTTCAGACCACCACACATTAGGTCACCTGCTTATCCCAGCCAGTCTGGGGCTGGCAGACACCCCATGTTTTCTTCACAGCACCCGAACAGTAGCAACACTCAGGCTCCCTCAGTGCACCAGCCTGACCAGTATGGTAGGTAGCAGTGTAAACTGGACTTGCCAGGGGACCTTGGTATTTTTAAAAAATGTTTGTGAACATCCCATCTTACTGCTGAAGGAATATAAAAATAACGTGGAAGATACAGAAGTAATTGCATTGTAGAGGGAATTTTTGGTTTTTGTTTTCCTTTTACTAACAACACATTGTGATACTACAATGAAAATATGCATGTCACTCACTCACACACCTGCATGGATTTTGGCACAGCTCCATTTCCTCGTGCCTAAAAGGGAAATGAAGAATCTCCTCGCTGAGAAGGAATGAGATGTGTCCTTCCCTGACCCAGGCATCATCTTTCTCTCTTCATTGTTGGTGTTCTTGTCTGCAGTGGTGCGTGCAGCCACATTTTCTGTACTTGGTGGTATTGTCACTGCTGCCTAGGCAGAGGACTGCAACCCCCAAAGTATGATCCTTTTTTGAGAGATGATATACTGCAGGAGTGATTACAGGGTTTCTTAACAGGATTTTCAACCAAGTTTTAGCACACTGTAGCTGAATGTGCATGTATTTGAAAAATTAGTCTCTAGAAGAATTTTTAGGAGCACTAATTACCGCTTGCAAAACATTTGCCTGAAGTGCAGCTACTGTTTTCTCACCAGAGTCCTCCACACATTTTTGTAACCATATCACAAATTACAGAACTGGGAGAAAGTATCTACGTTGGCTCCCAGTCCATCTTCACCTGAGATTTAACCTTTATAGATTTCCCTGCCATCGTGTTATTTCAGTTGTTGCCTCTGTAGGAAATCTTTAATACCCAAATTATTGCTGCTGTCATGGCAATTAACAAGTTTTAATTGCCAGTTTTCTGTAGTTGCTAGTTTGGTTTTTCCCTTAATAACATGGTTCATATATGTGCACAGAAGAAGCAGAAAGAAAAGCAAAAAATTAGAACACAAGTTTACTGCTTATCCAGTTCAAAAAACAAAGCTAAGTGAAATGGGAGAGCACTTGCACCATACTACTTTGCCTAGCTGGGAAGACATCCACTCCTATATGCAAACATGCATGAACAGTGCCCAGCCTCTTTCTTCAAATGTGTTGAGTTTATAAGATTGAGCTGTGGACCTCAAAAATTGTTGGATTTTTATTACTATAAAACACCATCCTCTGTGTAGAATTAAGAATAAATTACATCATAGTCATGGTTACACAGCAGTATTTCTCTTCAGGTTGGTTGTGATCCACTTCAAGGTCAACTTGTTGACTCAGTAGCCAAGTATCAATAGGGGAGAGAAATCTATCTTCAGCTGTTAATCCACAGGATCTATCCTTTCCCAGCTCAGGAGTCTCATTTAGACATAGAACAGTGGTTTGCCTCTGCCTTGCCAAGCCACACTAAGCAGCAGCATAAAATGAATTTAAATGGCATGCATCAGAAAAAAATCTCTTCCACTGGGGCACAAAATCAATGTTCATTAACCAGAGCAGGATGATCAGGATCTCAGTGTCAGCCAGTTATACCTAGGTATCATCCTCAGAGCAGACCACCACCCTTTCCATTAGAAAATATTAAAATCACACAAATGAGAGTGGTGGCTGTGGAAGATACTAGGTTTACACCATTTGAATTAGCCTTTGGCCTCATCTTGAGGTCTGCTTCATGTTGAGCTTAGATTAATTTATATGTCTATATAATACCTTCCCTGCAACCTAAAATCTTACAATGTGCTAGTCGATTGTGCATGCAGGCCAGGGTTTGCCAAATGATAACTGCCATGTCAGGCTAGAGAAAAGAAAGGTATTTTTAAGATCTCTTCATTGAATCTCTTCATTGTTTCAGGCTACCCAGAGTGTTCAAGTTTGCTCTGAGTAAAAGTTCACAGCAGGCAATGTTAAATAAATCTTTAGTACCCTGTGTAGTAGTTCACTTTACTTTCTGGAGGACAGTGTGAAAGAACTACAAAACAGTGCTTTCCTTTTTATATTTGTCTGGTCTTGGCCTCAGCATAACCATTGACTGGTGAGGACTGTATGTTGAAGACCTAATATATCCATGGAAGAAAAGACTCTACATAACTTAGGTTGGCATTGACTGAAACCTCAAGGGCTGGTTCTGCTGCTGAAGAATAGAACCCAGAGGAGACCTCAAAGGACCAGGTGGCTCCAAAAGATCTATTATCACTCTGTGATTCTTAGAACAGCACATACATTTATAGTGATATAGAAATGTTCCCGTGTATACAAAACTGCGTCACAATAAGCCTTCAGTAAAAACAGACAGTTCTAAGCAAAGGAGATACTGTTTTCCCTGTCAATGTGAAAGGCAGCAAATTTAGCCCATATCTTTTACTACCAGCCAGTGTTGAGCTCCTCAGTTTGTAAATGCCCAGCTTGAACCTTTGCAGGACTATGTGTGCACTGTCTGTGAGCTTTCGCTTCCTACAGCAAGTTCTCAGTTTAAAATTGATTATCAGGTTGGCACCTGAAGTCAACAGACATTTTTAGAGCTAGATGCTTGTCACCATCAGTTTCAGCATTTCTCATGCTAGCAGTGAGTGTCATTCTGAGCATGTCTTCTTAGTAGTTGAAAGTGTGACTGTAGTATATGGAAAGGTAAAAACATAGTTCTAAAATAGCTGGCTTGCATGCTGTTAGTAGTGTGGCCTTAGAAGATGCAATTCAGTGCTAGCTGGCTGTAAAATGTGCATCCAACTGGATGCTAAAATGAGCATTTTGCTGGTGCAACTACAGTTATCAATACCTGAACTAATTACAACAAAATGAGTTTTGATGTGCCTACATGAGGAGAAATCCTATCTTTGAAGGCAGCCCCTTTGACCTCAACATACCTTAATATGATTCTCAGGATTGCATGTTGCAATTTTATAAATGAAAGCA